AAGAGTTTGCTTTGGGAAAGTGCTGTTATTGTATTTGTTTCAAAGTTAAACTATAAACTAAGATCCTTCCAAAGTTAGTTAAGCCTATGCCCAGGAATGAACCAGGATGGCTTGGAGGTTAGAAGCAAGATGGAGTCTATTAGGTTAGATCTCTTTCACTGTCATAATTTTCTCAGTTATTTATAATTTTTGCAAAGGTGGTTTCAATATCTTTACAAAAACATGTAGATTAGTGTTTTACCAAATATCTGGCTCTCATGGCCTAAACAAGTTGACATGTGAAACTAACCATCACGACAGCATATAGTTGCGACTTTTTAAAATTTAGTCTGGCTGGGCACGGTGGCTCATGCCTGTAATCCCAGCACTTTGAGAGGCTGAGGCGGGTGGATCACTTGAGGCCAGGAGTTGAAGACCAGCCTGGCCAACATGCTGAAACTTCTTGTCTACTAAAAATACAAAAATTAGCCAGGCGTGGTGGTGGGTGCCTATAATCCCAGCTATTCAGGAGGCTGAGGCAGGAGAATCGCTTGAACCCGGGAGGCAGAGTTGCAGTCAGCCAAGATTGCACCACTGCACTCCAGCCTGGGTGACAGAGCGAGACTCCATCTCAAAAAAATAAAAATAAAAAAATCCTGTCTAACAGTTTCTGCCTTGTGTTTGCATTGTTTAATCCATTAACATTTAATGTCATTATTGATATGGCTGGATATATTTGCCATTTTACATTTTTTCTGTTCATTTGTTTGTTCCTCTCTTCATCCTTTGCTGCTTTCCTTGGCAATGAGTGAAAATTTTATAAAAAGTAACATTTCAATTCTTTCAATTACCTTTTACTATATATATTTTTTTAACTATATTTTTAAAATAATTTTCTTAGTAGTTGTTTTAGGGCTTGCAATAAGCTTATCAAATCTATTCAACTTATCAAAATCTACCTCAGTTTAATACTAAATTAATTTCAGTGAGATGTAAAAACCTTATTCCTATATATCTGTATTCTCTATTCCCCCTCTTTTTTCTATTATTATACATTGTACATCTACACATTGCAGATCCAGCAATACATTATCATATTCATTACTTTATATAATGTTTTATCTTTTAAATAAACTAAGAGAAGAATGTAGAGCAAGTATACAGTTATAGCCCTTGTTATACCAACCATTATATTTATCATTTCTGGTTTTCTTTATTTGGTCCTGTGTATTTGAGTTACCATCTAGTGTCATTTCTTTAGACCAACACAGATTTGTTCACTCCTACCTTCTTCGGGCTGTTATTGGCAAATTAGCAAATATATTGTATTTCTCTGTGCTATAAGCCCAAACATACAAAAAAGTGTGTATATATATATCGTTTCGTACAGTTGTTCTTTAAGTCAGCGAATGGAAGAAAGGAGAAGAAATATGCATTTATGCCATTTCTTAATTTCATAGTTATCTTTATCAGCACTTTTAAAGTGTGGATTTGAATTTCTGTCAGGGGTCAATTGCTTGTAACTGAACAACTTCCTTTAAAGACAGGTCAGCTAGCAACAAATTTTCTAAAACTTATGTCCTCTTTTTGCCTTCACTATTTAAACATAGCTCTGCTGGAGATAGGATTCTCGTTGACAGTTTTTGTTTTTTCTTTCAGCACTTCACACATGTCATTCCCCTACTTTCTGCCTTCAACTGTTTCTGATAAGAAGTCAGTTGTCAACTTATTGGGGTTCTTTTGTAGGCTATGAGTGTTTTTCTCTTGCTGATTTCAAGAGATTTTTCTCTTTGTCTTCGGCTTTCAGCAAATTTACTTATATGTTTACACATAGATGTCTTTGTGTTTATCCTGCTTGGTATATGTTAAGCCCCCTTGATTTGTAGGTTGATATTTTTCATCATATTTAGGAAGTTTCCAGCCATTTCTTCTTCAAATATTTTTTCTGTTCCTTTTTCGACTTTTTGTTTGGCATTCCCAATATGCAAATGTTGGTATGCTTAATGGTGTCCCAAATTCCCGTGAGGCTTTGTTCATTTTTCTTCACTGGTTTTCTTTTTGTTCTTCAGACTACATTATCTCCTTCTGCCTATCTTCATATTTGCTAATTCTTTCTTTACATCTACTATTGAGCTCCTCTGCTGAGTTTTTTATTTTAGTTATAGTACTTTTCAACTCTAGAACCTATATTTGATTCATTTTTAATAATCTGTATCTCATTATTGTCTGTTTGATAAAACATTTCCATAACACCTTTCTTCATTTCTTTAAGCATGGTTTCACTTACTTTTAGAATATATTTGTAATGGCTACTTTAAAGTGTTTGTCTGTTACAACTGATGTCTGGTCACTTTCATAATTTCTGTTGCCTGTTTCTTTCCTATATGTGACACAAACTTTTATATTTCTTTGCACATGTTGTAATTTTTTTTTTTACTGAACTCTAAACTGGTTAGATAATATATGTTGATAACTACGGGTACTGTTCTCACCAAGGGACTTGTTGCTGTTTGCTAGTTTATTGCTTAGTGGCTCACTGGGCTGTTTGAGTGAAGTCTCCCCCTTCCAGTTTGAAGCCTCAGATGTTGTTCCTCAGAGGGTACAGATCTTGGCATGGGCACAGTCATCCCTGGATGACAGTGATTTTTCAGAGCCCTTGACTGTCTCTTTTCCTGACCACATCGAGCTATTAAACTCCACTAAGTTTAATATTAATCCAGCTATTAAACTTGACTGATCTCTTATTTCTCATTGTTTTCAACAATGCCCTGGGGTGTGAATTTCTCTAAAAACTGATCCAATTAAATTATATGAGTAGTTTGAAGTCAGAGTTTAAGCTTCATCCTCACCCCAGGAGGGCTCTTCATAGCTGTCTTTTTTCTTGGTTCTCTTTAGTAAACTAGCTAGCCTATGGTTTAATTTATATCTGTAATAGAGCTAGCTATCAGTCATCTGTTAATTGCTTTCCACCAAAACCTCCATTGTGTTTTACAGCATCCTTAAGTTTTAACTTCCTCCATCCTCTGTTTCAAATTAAGTCAATAAAATTGGGGAGAGCAGAGGAGTTCTCTGTCTTACGACCTAACTCTCCGCCAGGGCAAAATCTCTGAGCTGGGATAGTGGTATGCTTTTCTGCTTCAGGGTTGGATGTCCAGTGAAGGACAGTAGTCTCTGGTCTTCTTGGCTTGCCTCTCCAAGCATGAAACCTTTTTGCTATGAATGAACCAGGGTCCAGTACCCAGTATAGCACCTCATGCCCAAGGTATTCTCCACCTTATGAGTCGGGGCTGAGTGGAAGAAGGGAGACCCAAAGCCATAGCTGTACTTACCCAAATCTTAGACTCTGCAACAGGTTGCTAGGAATGGGATGAGAAATGCTAATCCTCTTCCCCTTACAGAAATATACCTTAGCCCTTGATTGGAAGCTGGGGGAAAAGGCAGTCCAATATTTTTGGCTGAACCTGCCTAGAGTAATGTTCTGCCACACTGGCCTGTGGGGAGGGAAAGGGGGTTGTGCCATGATTCAAATCCCACTGGATTTCACTGTTCTTAATAAGTCTAATAGGTTTTCTTGAATAAATGTTTCTTCATTTGTTGTATGTCCTTAGGGTCTTCTCTGGTTTGAATGTGTTTCCCACATTTCGTGTATTGGAAACTGAATCCCTATTGTGGCCATATTGAAAGGTGGGGCATTTAAGAGGTGATTGGATCCTGAGGACTCTGCTGTTATGAATGGATTAATCTATTGATTAATGGATTGATGAGTTAACATGGAGGTGGAACTGGTAGCTTTATAAGAAGAGGGAAAGCAACCTGATCAAGCATGTTAGCATAAGATTAAGTATGTCAGCTCTCTCACCAGGTGATGTTCTTTGCTGCTTCAGGACTCTGTAGAAAGCCCCCACCAGGAGTAAGCCCTCACCAGATGCTGAACCATGTGCTTGGACTACCCAGTCTCCATAATTGCAACAAACAAATTGCCTCTCTTTATATAAATTACCCAGTTTCCAGTACTCTGTTATAAGCAACAGAAAATGGCTAAGGTAGAATCATAACTAAAGGCTTTAAGTGGTTATATTTTAAAAACAACTTTCATCAGTTTCACTGGGGTACACGTTCACAGACCTGTTACACTGCTATTCTGGAAGTCTCAAAATTACTCCATGTCAAGTCTTACTGATTTTTTCTCTCTCCTTCATAAAAAAGAGTCAGTCCTTATTCTATATGTTGAACATTCTGTGGTTGTAACAAATCGTATTAATTTGATCTTAATGTGGCTTCAGTTTTTCATGAGGTGTCTGATTCACCTCATGAAAAAACAAGTTATATAATCCTGATTTCTTAATCTATAGAAAACAAAAATCAATATGTTCTGAAATAATTGGACAAAAATGTCTTGAAAATTATGCTAAATTTCTGTTCTAACATGTTTGGATCTGTTTTCTGAAACTACTTGGTCTAGTCAAGGTGACTGTTCTCATGCTGCTAATAAAGAGCATTAATATCTGTAACATTTATCTTAAAAACATAGGCCATGGGGTCCAGTGAGTTTCTTAGGAAAAATTCTTTAAAATCTTGCTGAATTTCTTAACTCCCATTCCCTTCAAAAAGTATTTATCATTACAAACTCATTACTATATGTTTAAAAGCATTTTACTCTCTTGAGATGATTTTCTTCTTAAAAATCCAGGTGATAAAATTGTTTTTCTGTTTTAAATGCTTTAAGTTGTCTTTCAAAATATTAAAGCATACATTGTTTCATATTCTCTCAACTATGTGAGTGCCTTTTTCCTCTCCCTGGTGAATTTCTTTCTTTCCCTGGTGAATTATTTACTACTCACCACTTATCAAATTGTACGTGAGAGCTGAAATGATATTCACGAAGTCTCTTAGAAATGACTCAAACTTTCTGTTTTAACATCTTTTTAATAGGATCCCCACTTTAGCTTTCATGAAGCCACCCAGTCTAAAACAGATGCCTAAAGGGCATCTGCCTCTATAATTTTTGTTTGAAAATACAGGATATAGTGGCCAAGGAATTATCTGGGCAATCAGAAGATGAAGATGTACAAAACGAAAGAAAGAGAATCCTGGAGCAGCCTCAGGAGTTGCTGAATTCCACAGTACTTATTAAAGAACTCATAAAGGTAATATAATTCAATGGCTAACCTACACTGGCTTCATTTCTACTTAAGAGTGTGCCTTTGGTGCCAAGGGCTCTCTGTGGTTCTTTGGGCTCTATATGTATTCTCCCAGTAGAATAGAAGAGTTATCGTGAAACTGTCTGAAGTAGTGATCCATAGGGGTCTGAGATATTACTGACTGTATTTTGCCTATAAGTATTCTTTACTGAATTGTGTTTCCTGGATTTTTTTTTTAAGATCTATTTTAAGTCTCCAGCCATCCTGGCTGTAAAAAATATCTCTCTTGCAATCCAAAAGGGGGAGTGCTTTGGATTGCTTGGATACAATGGAGCTGGAAAAACAACTACTTTCCAAATTTTGACTGGGGAAGAGAGTCCTACTTCTGGAGATGTGTTCATTGATGGCTTTAGCATCACAAAAGATATCCTACAGGTAAGAAGCATAATGAATGACTCAGGTTCAGGTAATAGATAGTTGGCTAGGGAGGGGATATGGGAAATATGGTATGTATTAATGCAATCTATGTTGTTGATGCAATCAATGGATTCTGGGAAACCAACTTGTAAAGAGTGAGTGAAGCAGTAAGAACAGAATCTAAAACAAGAGTGTCTTTTATGTTTTTTGAAACTGTTTAAGTAAAAGGCAAGTTCTTTCAACATTAGATCTAACATATGCCAGACAAGGTACTCTAAGGGTGTAAGGATGGCAAGGCTGGGCAGCAGGAGAAGATAACCTGCAATTCAGTTGCACCTGAGACCTTGCTCCATCTTACTGGGAGCTCTGCAGCAAGATGGGCTTTCACAAATCCAACTGAAGCAAAGTTGCTAGCCTTTGTATCTCTACATCTGCCAGTCATTGGAAGAGAGGATGTAACCTTGGAAAGAAGCTAAGTGTGGGGAGAATTTCAAGAATAAGGGAATTATCAAATGTATCAAATCCCAGGAAGACTAAGGCAAGGTAAAGCCTAGATAGTGTACGTTGGTTTCAGTAAGTAGAACTTCACCGATGAGGTTGGCAAGGACAACTGTACTAGGGTTAAGTGGGTAGGTGTAACAAGAGCCTGAAATAGTGTAATTCTTTTCTCCTCACTTAATCACATCAGCCACTATCACCATGGAAGCAGCGAGAGGGGGTTGGGAGAGCATTCTGTGGGATAGACTAGTCCCAGTAGTCTAGTTTATTAGTCTGTTCTCATCCTGCTAATAAAGACATACCTGAGACTGGATAATTTATAAATGAAAGAGATTTAATTGACTCACAGTTCCACATGGCTGAGGAGGCCTCACAATCACAGCAGAAGGCAAATGAGGAGCAATGCCATGTCCCACATGGCGACAGGCAAGAAAGTGTGCGCAGGGGAATTCCCATTTATAAAACCATCAGATCTCATAAGTCATGAGACTCATTCACTATCACAAGAACAGCTCAGGAAAGGCCAGCCCCCATGATTCAATTACCTCCCACCAGATCCCTTCCATGACAAGTGGAAATTATGAGGCAGAGGTTGTAGTGTGCCAAGATTGTGCCATTGCACTCCAGCCTAAGCAAAAATTGTGAAGATTCAAGATGAGATCTGGGTGGAGACACAGCCAAAGAATATCATCTGGTAACCAGAAGTGAAGCTAAAAATGTGGATTGCACTTTGAAGAAGATTCACTGTGAGGCAAAATGAAGAATGAAAATTCACCCAGATTTTTGATAAGGACAGAAAATATTTCATAGGTTGAATAACTCAAGCACATTTATACTAGAAAGGGAGAAGTTAAAGAAACAGAGGAAGGAGTGATACATGATGGCAGGAGGTGATCTGTTCCTACCAGGTGGTCCTTGCAAAAAAGTCCGGGAACATGAGGTCTCCCCTATCTTTGTTCATACCATTTATACCCTTGGGGAACATAAAGGTGGCATAAAACAGTCCAGTTTCCTGACTGTGCATAATGGAGAAAAAGATTAAGTGAATTTAGTACTAAGGAGCAAAAGCTAAATTGAGAATTAAAAAGGTAGTTCATATAAAACATCATATTTAAAAAGAGAACAGGCATATGGGCAAAATATCAGCCTTTTACAAAGACTGATTCAAAGTTCAGTAAATCTGAGGGAACTCTTTCAAGCCTCAGAAAATTTCTCCAACTCTAAGATTCTAAAATATTTATCATATTTTATGCAATAGATGGTAATATTTTCATTTATTTAGGCCTTAAAAAAACTTCTACATTGTCTTTCTATTGTGGTAAAAGTGCATAATATAAAATTTATTATATTAAGCATTGCTGAATGTAGAATTCAGTGCCATTAAGTACATTCACATTATTTTATGCCCATCACCACTCTTCATCTTCAGAACTTTTCCTTAACCTAAATTAAATATCTCTACTCAGTCAACAACTCCTCTTCCCTCCATTAACTCCTTAGTGACTACTGTTCTACTTTCTGTCTCTATGAATTTGACTATACTAGGTACCTCATGTAAGTAGAATCATATAATGTTTTCTTTTTATATCTGATACGCTTCACCTAGCACAATGCCTTCAAGGTTCACCTATGTATTCGAATTTCATTCAGTTTGGCTGGGTGCAGTGCCTCATGCTTGTAATACCAGCACTTTGGGAGGCCAAAGTGGGCGGATCACTTGAGGTCAGGTGTACAAGACTAGCCTGGCCAGCGTGCTGAAACCCCATCTCTACTAAAAATGCAAAAATTAGCCAGGCATGGTGGTTCATGCCTGCAATCCCAACTACTCGGGAAGCTGAGGCAGAGGAATTGCCTGAACCGAGGAGGCAGAGGTTGTAGTGTGCCAGGATTGTGCCATTGCACTCCAGGCTGAGCAACAATTGTGAAACTCCATCTCAAAAAAAAAAAAAATGCATTAGTTTTAAGGCTGAATAATATTCCTTTGTATGAGTATACAACATTTTGTTTATCCATTCATCCATTTATGGACATTTGGGTTGTTTGTACCTTTTGGCTCTTGCAAATAATGCAGCTATAAACATTGGTATACAAATAACTGTTTGAGCCCTGCTTTTGATTATTTGGGATATGTATCTATAGGTGGAATGCAGAATCATATAGTAATTCTATGATCATTTTCATAAGAAATTCTATACTGTATTTTACAGTAGCTGTATCATTTTACATTCCCACCAGCAATGCACAAGAGTTCTAACTTATCCATATAATCCCTAACATTTCTTAATTTTTGTTTTAATCGTAGCCATCCTGATGAGTGTGAGGTGGTATCCCATTATAGTTTTGATTTGCATTTCCCTAACAATTAGTGATGTTGGGCATTTTTTTTTTCATGTGCATATTGGCCATTTGTATATCTTCTTTGGAGAAGTGCCTATATTAATCATTTGCATGACTTTAAAATTGGGTTGTTTGGTTTTTGTTGCTGTTGAGTTGGAGGAATCCTTTACATATTCTGGATATTAATTCACAGAAGATTTGTAAATAGTTTTTTCCCATTCTGTGGGTTACCTTTTCTGGTGTCCTCTAGTGAACAAATCTTTGAAGTTCAGTTTATCTAATTTTTCTTTTGTTGCCTGTGATTTTAGTGTCTTATCCACAAAATCTAGTAAATTCAATGTCATGAAGTTATTCCTCATTTTTTTCCTAATAGTTTTATAGTTTAACTCATATATTAGGTCTTTGATCCATTTTGAGTTTATCATGGTATGTGGTGTAAGGTAAGGATCCAACATCAATCTTATTCATTTGAACATCCAGTTTTCTCAGTGCCATTTGTTGAAAAGACTGTCCTTTGCCTATTGAATGGTCTTGGCACCCGTGTGTGATTCAGTTGATCATTTCCTAAAGATTTGTTTCTGGATCACTGTTTTATTTTACTAATCTATATGTCTGTATTTTTATTACTGAAACTTTTCAGTAAGTTTTGAATGTATAAAGTATTAGTCCTCCAATTTCATCCTTCCTTTTCAAAAGATTGTTTTGGCCATTTGGGTTCCTGAAGGTTCTATGTGAATTTTAGGATGCACTTTTCTACTTCCACAAAAAAAAATTGTCAGGATTTTGATAGAAATTACATTGAATCTATAGATTATTTTAACAGTAATAGTAATTCTCTCAATCCATGAACATGAGATGTAGTCCTATTTCTTTATGTTGTCTTTAATTTTTCAGCAATTTTTATAGTTTTCAGTGTCCAAGACTTTTAACTTATTGGTTAAGTCTATTCCTATGCATTTTGTTCTTTTTGATGCTATATAAATTAAATTTTTTTTTAATTTCCTTTGGGTGGTTTTATTGTTGGTGTATAGAAATGTAACTAATCTTTTAAAGAAAAAATATATCAGTCTATTAAACATATTCCCCTATGCCTTATACAATATGAACAGAATAGATGAATAAAAATTCAATAAAAATTAAGAAGAGGAAAATAAATCCAGAGAAGAGATAAGTCCATAGAGAAACTCACTCTGATTAACTTGGAAAATGCCACATTACCACCAAGCTTCTTAGAATCTGTATTGACTATGAGATCTGATTTCATATCAACTGCAGCTATCTCTTCCAAATAGAAGTCGGGGTCAAAGCAGCCTGACTGAGTCAATCTTTAGGGATATAAAACTGGATCATGGTTATAATTTGCTAGGATGCTCCCTTTTTTGTCATTGTTGTTGTATTATCTTTGCCTGGAGAAAAAAATGGGTTGGTTGCTAGGTTGCTATAGTGGTTATAGTAGAGTCAAGAGACAGGAAATTACTTGGTCTCCAGCACCATCTAAATATGGGAGTATAGGGAAAAAGAACTCCTAGTCAGGGCTATGAAGATATTACATAGAAGGCCATATTGGTGTCCAAACTAGTTCAAATCTGTATATATCATTGAACTTTGTGCTTGATATTTGGTGGCTTTTCCCACTCAGAGACATGCTGAGCAGCAACTATGGTTCATGAAATACTGGCAGATCTAATTTTAAATGTAAGGGTGTCACTGCTTGTTTAATGTAGAAGTAGCAAGGTCTGCATGAATTCATCACTTTTTCATGGTGCCAGAATCAACAGAAAGTTGACTTACGTCCAGGAGTCACACAGCTGGTTTCCATGTTTATTTTTGTTTCTTTGTTTTTTAATGTAAGAATTTGTAACTTGCATGGCCCCCCATTGCTTCCTGTTTTCTATCTTTGTCCTGACTGAGAAAACAGAGTGCCTTGACCAACCTGAGCTGGTGCTCAGGATCAGCTTTATGCCTTCCCCTACAGGCTTGGACCCAAGCCAGAGCCTAGAAGCTACCAAGGAACATTCCAAGACACTGATAAAGTTGTTTAAGTTGTTGCCCAAAACTGAAAGGTCAAACATCTTGCTAAACACATAAAAAGTAGCCCTGGCCCTGAGCAAAATTATTTAAATACTCATTCAGACTCTGTAAACCAACTCCCTCTTTATAGTCATACCTAGGTAGAACATCTTTCTTACTATCATCACAAGGACAACCACAACTCTTGTATGTGAATTTTCCTAATAAATGTTTTGGACTATTTTCTAGTACTTCTTTCTTTGGAATGCCAATTGGCCCCACCTCAGGGTGACTTGGGGCAGTCCATTGTAAGAACTTGTCAGCCACTACTTTGGGGGCAGTGCTGACCATTTTCTCCAAGGACAGAATGTAGCTATAAATTTCCCCTTGAATACTGCTTTTGCTGGGTCCCATGAGTTTTTATGTAGTGTTTTGTTTTCACTCATCTCTAATCATTTTCTAAATTCTCTTATTTCTTCATTTAGCCATTGGTTATTTAAGAGTGTGTAAATCTGCAAATTTGTGAATTTTCCAGGTTTTCGCCTCTTAACAATACCTAAATTCATCCAGTCATGGTTGGAAAGATGGTTTATCTTTTCAAATCTACTCAGATTTAATTTGTGTCCTAAAATACGGTCCAGCCTGGAAGATGTCCCACGCGCCCGTGAAAAGAATGTGTACTCTGTTTTGTTGATTAGTGTTCTGCATACGTTAGTTAGATCTCATTGGTTTATGTGTTACTTAAGGTCTTTATTTCCTTTTTGATCTTCTGTCTGTTTGCTACCCATTAATGAGAGTAGGATATTAAAATATCCAACTATTATTATAGAATTGTTTTTCTTCATCTATTTTCATGGTCTGCTATTAGGTGTGTAAATGTTTATACTTTTTATATATCTTCATCCTGAATTGAACCTTTTATTCATATGTAATATTCAGACCGGGAGTGACAGCTCATGCCTGTAATCCCAGCCCTTTGGGAGGCCGAGGCAGGCAGATCACCTGAGGTCAGGAGTTCGAACTAGCCTGGCCAACATGGCAAAACCCTGTCTCTACTAAAAATACAAAAA